TTTCTTGATAATGATAATGAATAGTAACATTAATGATAATAATAATGATTATAATGATGATAATGCATAGTGATGATAATACTGAAAAATTATGAATAATATTATAATAATAAGTTGTCAACTCATGGTTGAATGAAGATGATCCGATCTCTGTTTGATTTCTCCAGAGGTGGACTGTTCTCCACACCAAAACTAAAATTTCTCGATTTTTAAGATTTACAGATTGAAAACATTTTGTGTTATAAGCTGCTTACGATCATCTTATACACATAAATGCTCACCCAGTTGCCAAGTATTTGAACAGATATATAGCAGAGAGAATTGAGTAGGGGAGTTGCTGAATGGAAAGAGAACATACGTATCGATGAATGTGTAATGCAGAACACGTACAGTATAAGCGTAACCTCTATGGCCTGAATCGATAAACGCAAGGCATTTAGCATATAATATAACTTCGCGTAAGCTCTCTTGCATTCGATCAGATGTCTTGCGGTACCTAACAGAATAGTGAAATGCCTTCAACAACAGATAGCACTGTGGTAGACTCGGATCACCAAAACAATCTGGTCAAGCTATTGTCCGTTGCACTCACAAATACCAGTGGTATAAATTTGGCACCCTCTGAAACGGGAGGTATGAGGTTACTCATTTGTTCGATACGTATGATCTTTAATTCCATGCCTCTTAGTGAAAAGGATCTCCATCAGTCCTCGAGGGTGGTGGAAGAGTAAATACATGCTTCGAGTATAAACTTTGGAATAGATAAATCTGCAACAGTCCATCTTAAAAGAGAATGATGTATGGATTACGGAAAGGATGTACAGCTCATCAGATACAAGAAACATTTGGATGACGAAGACACTTGTGGTCGAACAACGCCACTCACAAGAGGTGACAACAGTGAAAAGTATCAGTACAAACTCGAACAGATGTGACCATCGGAACGGTTGATAAAAAAAAGTTGCTGCTACGAATATACTTGCCGTTTCTATCGTTCAGAGTAGTGGAGTGGATTCAAAGAAAGCTATATCAATTCAACATAAAGACCCGAAAAATGATACATCTGAGTTTGCATATCAAACCGTCCGTTTCGCGGAAGTACTTCTCACGACAACAGAAAGGCCGTGAACATTTGAGTTTAGAGTATCTGCATGACAGAATGATACTTTCTATAAAGTCATCAAGAGTTCGAATACCCTTCCATGCATTGTTCACGATCATGAGGAAGTGGGAATTAGAACAATTGCCTTCGAGGCAGATGTCGAGCGGCAGATGAACTTGGTTCAGGTATCGATACTACACTACGCTACACCCGTCCAGCAAAAAGCCCACTGAGAAGTCACAGATATGACTTCTCTCCTGCGCAGTATACAAGAATATGCTAATGCATGTGCTCTTGAAGACTTTGGCTCATCAAACCGCTTGACCTTCGCTCCCCTCAGGTGGAGTGGGCTGAAGCTGAAAACTGATGAGTTCATCATGGCCTGCCAGGATGGTGATTTCATTACTTTAGTCTGCCGCAGTCGCGTGATGGGTATACAGATTCCTGATACTAGGTATAGGGCCAGCCTCGAGGCACCTAAGACCCTAATGCACTTGCTGCCAGCATGTTCAGCATATGCGGTCTCAGCTTATGTCCATCGAAGTGACGCAGGTCTGGAAGTGCTTCTATACTACCTACGTCACTTCTGAAGTATTACGAGACACCGGTTGTGACTTGAGCTCCGAGGATAATGAATTTGTTATGAGAAATAAGAAGTTACCGATCTGTTGGAACTATTTATTCTTCACCCTCAGGCTCATGGAAGCTAATAAACCTGATGTGCATCAAAGCAAGACAATTTCTGTGACGGTGTTGTCAGCACCAGGTGAGACTAATATTGTTCGCTGAGGAAAAAACAAACGAACGAAATATCGTGATGATCTCTTCGAACTACGCAGATTTTTTTGAGGTCACACTATCGAGAGGACTGTTTTGATTATTGGAATCTTTGTTGATATGCTGCCTCCACTACTTTCTAATCTCAAAATCAATCCGGCTTGCCGCACTCAGGTAGAAATCTTGGCCGCACAAATTCAGACGACTGTCATTCTCATCTCATTGCACTGTTCAGTAATTGGATAGAACTGGCCGATACTTGATTATTCATGAGCAACTGTTCAGGGCGGACCTAGTAATCATACACCCTGTTACATGGGAAGTGATAATAACCTAAGACTATAAAAATCATAATACTGATAGTAATGATGATAAAAATTCAAGAAATATTCAATGATCATAGTTATCATAGTGCTATCGAATATCATTATCATCACTATGGCGAAAACCAACATTGGAAAAATATGAATACATATTAACTCATCAAATTCTATATTTCATATTCCGTTGCGTTCCTTAGTCTCGTCAAAACTTCAAACTTATTGCTCCAGAAGAAACGTATCACGAAAACATTATCGTTAGATTGTCAATCATTTTCGAATCTAAAATGAAAAATTCCTTTGATGTTCAGTGAAATTGGATACAGATGCATTCCCATAGTGTGTATGTGCCTCTGAATATACGTAAAAGTAATAAGTTCAAAGGAAGTAGCAAAAATGAAAATATAATTATCAATACACACAACATCAATAGTTTTGAATTTGACAGGTATTTCGTGATTCATTTTATTTTGGAATCGAATAACAAATTGTTAGCAAGAAAACATTGCCACAAAATTTAAAAAAGGACAAAACCAACGTAAGTGAAAGTATTGAAACGTTTAGGAGAATTATTGAAAACAAAAACCCACTGAATATCAATTAGTAGTCAGTAAGATCGTCTTCATTTCTCAGTAACATATTGACATGACTGTGCATTGAAACAACCAAGCGATTGATCTTCTCTTGAGCAATGTTGTTCCGTTCTCTTGATGCTGCTGCAATTCTGTTCTACTTACTAAGGTGGTTCAATGTGATTGTTAACAGCTTTAGGAACAAAATCCCACGTGTTTTCAATTCTAATCCAGCGAGTTAGTTTGAAATTTGCCCTTGTTCTAATACCCCTTGAAACATTCTTACTCGATGTGGCCGGCTGTTATCATACATGAAGATGAAATTTTCACCTAATTCGTTTCGTAACAGATAAACAATGAACCTGATAAAATTTCGAATATCATGTAAGATAATAATTGATGACTTTCATCCCTTGAACATGCTGCCCTCCAAATCATTACTGCCCCTCCTTGATAGGGAGCAACCTCTTGAAGAATTTAGTATTTGTTGACGACCTGACTCCCTTCAGTTCCTCTGCCTAAGGTCATCACTTTGTAGTACAATCCTGGTTCAATATGTAACGGAACTGTTGTCGCAAAAGCCATTCGCTATGCTCTCGCGCCCATTGTGAGCTCGCTGTCATAAAATTAGGGTAGGTGCTCTCAAAAATTTGCACAATGGAGTCTTCTTCTGGCTGTAGAAGTAGATATAACACAGCAAGATAAACTTTGAAAGTGAGACCTAACGACTGGTGCTGATTCATTTTGGTGTCTATGCACATGATGAACCAAATACCGGTCCTGTCTTTCATGTGATACTCGAGTTGCCAACTGAATGTTTTTTTCACTGTTTCAAATTCCTCAATACCTTTTACCTATTCGCCGCACAATGACAGATTTTGGAATGTTTTAAATCATGTGCATATGACAATAATTCTTGTCCTCTCTAAAGTGTTATTTCTGAAGAGAAATATCAATTTTTGGTGCTAAATAATTGCTGTTCGTTTACCAGATGCTTCAATTTTTCATCTAACATCAGAAACGCAATAATCATACAGTATGTAGATTATATGAGGATCCAAGGCTTTTGATGTAGTCTGTATTATCTGTAAAGAAACTGGCCAAAAGTAAAATCGACTGGAGTCAGAGAGAGAGTGATTTTTATTCCACTACATAATTAGCTTTGAATAACTTCAGCACACAAAAAAATTGTTGTAAGGAATATAACATTTGTATTCTCACAATGATATTTTTTAATGAATATTATTTGTTTTTTTACAATATATGGTGCCAAAACTAGCAAACAGTTATAATTGTCTGGATTTTATAATAATCAACTTCAATCCCTGCAGAGCTGCTATATATAGCCAGGTCATATTAAACAGGAATAAATTTTCAATTTTGTATATATCTGAAAACCTTGTATCTTGACAGAGAACACAGCAAAATAATGAAATAGAAAGAATCACTAGCAAGTTCAACAACAGAAAAATATTGCAAAATATTCATTCAAATTTTGTATCTGATCGATAATGATTTCAAGGTCCAAATAGATTGTCTAGGTTGGTAACGTCTATGTCATCCTTAAAATATGATCGGTGAACGACCAGGCACAGAAGAAGAAACTTCATCCTCTTCATTTTCCTGTAACAATGTTTGTTCTTTAATATTTCTGGGTTTTCTAGCGGAACTTTTATGATATGTTCCGGATTGTGTTTGAATATTGCTTTGATACCTACTGAAAAATGGAATTAACCAAAGGTAACTATTTAAAATCAATCAGAATGGAGCAAACTAGAAGTTTTTCCCTAAAAATATTTTTTTGAAATATTCATTTTTAAATTATATCAATTGATTGAAGTATAACTCTAATATCTACGATATTTATGAGACGCATGAGTTACATCATTATTATATCCTCCAAAAACAACCAAAATGTTGATGTCACATTTACACGTGACATTTGATGCTATAGTGCATGCCTATATTGGAGCTATTTCTGAGGACTTTCGAAAAATTTCTATTTTATATATTCGTTAACACCCCTACTAGTCTGATAATGAAGGATATCGAATATCTAGTTTTTTGAATCTATCACCACACCAAACTTCATTTATTTCATCAGTAAGTTCATCCACCCAGTATGATATTTTCTGAAAAGAAGTGATCATTCAATTTCCCGAAAAATATCGTCCATCATCCAAAAGCGTTGTTGCGTACATTAGAGAGTGAACATTTGTCTTGTTGCAGGTGACGTTTCTCATGATGCCAATGGAAATAGGATGGGCGTGGACCGTTCAGTGGAAAGCAGGAGACGCCATGTGTCGAATAATGATGTTTTTCCGGACGTTCGGTCTGTATTTGTCCAGTTTTGTACTGATCTGTATCAGCGTTGACAGGTTAGTTTGGTTCAAAACGTGAAAGAGCAGATAAGAATGAAATGTGTCTATTTGGCAGTTGAAACTCCACCCTTTTCGAATAACTCTCTACACAAATCAATATATTTTTCAAAACATCTGCTGGCCAATTAGTAACTCGTTCACTATTTAATAAATGAATGTGAAATGAATATAGGTATGCGTGACAGTACGTAACTCATTGAAATATCCAATGTGACAAAATGTGTAGAATCCAAATGGCAAAACACTTTATTCAAACAAAATCAATATTTTTCACATATAGTCAGTGGGCATACTTGAAGACTGGCTACAAATCAAATCATCTAAAGGAACAATTCGTTCAGGCCAGTCTAAACTCCCTACACTGTAGGTTGATGGACTGACACCTATCAGAAAACAAAAACTTCCCTGACTAATACCACGAAGAGCAACAACCTTCGTGTTATTAGTATGTCCACTGACTATATGCGAGAAGTTTTCTTTCCTTATACAAGGAATTGGGCAAATTTCGAATATGCGGTTGGTTACCGTGTTCACAGGCAGATGGGGCGATAACAAACTTATTGTTGTCCGCTTCAGCCTAGTTCGAGGAATAATACTGTGAAGTAATTCGATTTTTGATTATCGGGAATCATCGACTTCATGTTGATGATACACTCTACCTTGCACTGACGAATGGCCAAACAGCCCGAAACCGATCTGCAGGCGTGTTCCAATAATTGAAAATCTATGGGGCAGTTGCATCGCCAATAGCATATGCAGGAATAACTTCAGTGAAGAATCCTGCACTGACACCTATCGGATATAATCCAACGCCCTTCGTGGTATTAGCTAGGGGAGTAGTTGTTTTCTGATAGGTGTCAGTTCATTAACCTGCAGTGTAGGGAGTTGAGACTGGCCTGAACGAATTGTTCCGTTAGATGATTTGAAATCAAAATTGTTATTTCAGATAAATTATTAATCAATGCACCAGCTCAAAAACTCAGCAAATCTCTCACTTACCACAATATATTTCCTCGATGTTTTTTTAACCTCTAGTGCTCTAACCGACTCAGTTTTTTTCAGATAAAAACTGGAAGAAAAAGTTCATTCAACACAACTACTTTCAACTTCTGAATCACACGGAAATTATATCTTTTTATCCAGCTTATACTCCAAACATTCACAAAATTTGAAACCGATATCATGCACAGTAACCCTACATAACGGAATATTATTATAATGACAGAGTATTCATATAAAATTACACTTACAACTCCCACTCTCTTCCACTCTTAAGTACAGGTCCTTCAAAATTTTCTGGTGAAACCACTTGTCTTCAACTCCTCATCAACATTCTCATTTTCAGCATGCTACAAGTTGAATGAAGAATTGTTACTGATGTATTCAATTTTTTATCACTTTCTTTGAAATATTCCCATTTTCTATAAAGGCCGTTTCTTTTATCATGTGGTAACATTGATATATTCTTAACCGTAACAGATACGAAGACGATTGAATAGGAAAAAAGATAAGTGTCATCAGGAACAATACAATGATCGAAGAAAATTTACGGGGGCTCTCACCCCTCTCGAGTTATACAGGAAAAACCAAAAATGATGTTTTTAGTTTTTTTCGAATGGAATTGTTGTTTCGAACAATATCAAAAAATGGAAAAAAATTGTTATTGAATTTGAAGAGTACTAGTGTAATAATGAATATTCGATAAAACGTTTCGTGTCGACATGGCCACCATCAACTTTTTTTAAATACGGACCTGTCTTTTTCATTACAGATATTGCTAAAGCAATAAATTCACAATACAAGAGTATATCACATTCGATATTTTTATAGCCTTCCATTTGAGATAATTACCATCATCAGTAACAACAATTTTAAATTACAGTCCAGTCGTTACTTCTTTTGTAAATTGTTTCGATTTCTCCAAAACATAATTCAGACAACCCAATAAATTCGACAGATAGGTACCCTAACACAATAAAAATTCGTATTTTTCGTTTTGAAAGTTACTTTGTATTTCTCCCTAATCAATTATAATTCGCAATATTTTTATAATTCTCAATCCTGGAAGTAACGAAAATATCAGTTTTTGGACAAAATTCAATTGTTGTATAATTTGGTATAACCAAATAGCATCTCAATTCATTTACCATTTTAATCGCGTAGGCTTTGCTTGGTTTCTATGGCAGGAGAAATGAATGCGTTGTTAATATCTGTTGAGAACTGTCAGAGTTTTATGAACATATCAAAGATGTATTCAAATGATGAAAGCACTGATATGCTATTGAGTTATGCAAAATCGAATAAAAATTCTCTTTTGGCAAGGAATATGTATGCTGAGCTATACCCGAATCGTCGTATTCCGAACATTCAAATGTTTAGACGATTAGAAAGAAATTTTAGGGATTATGGTACAGGATACGCAAAGTTCATCACCTCAATGAAAGGAATTACGGAAGGAGAGTAGGATTTGCTTCGGAATAAATGTTTGATTGTGCCTTTCTTTTATGATGATCATTTGATTGGTGAAATGTATCTTCATTTTCTATTCAATGAATTCGATGGCTACTTAGATGAATTGTCACTGAATATATGCCATGAAATACAATATTTTCAACAAGACGGCGCTCTTCCCCATAATGCAGCAATAGTAAGCAATAGTAAGGAAATAGATCTTACTCCTTTAGATTTTTGTCTGGAGATACATAAAGGATAAAGTTTTTTCAACACCAAGTAGAGATATCGACCATCTCAAACAAAAATTGGGAAATGCATATATTAGTATTGCACCTATTATGCTAGAAAATTGACATAGAAATTATCTGGACCGACAACTAATATGCATTCAACAAAGATGTCATCAATTCGAGCATTTGATGTAGATTGTCATGTAACTTTGATTTTCCGTATTGGTTTCATTCTTTCCAAAAATTCATGATGAAATAAGTTGTTTTTCCGTTTAATTGTTGTTACTGATGATGGTGGTTATTTCAAATGAAACGTTTTAAACATATGAAATGTGATATACCCTTGAATTTTGAATTTGTCGCTTTATCAATATCTGTAATGAAAAAGAAAGGTCCGTATTAAAAAAAAATGTTGATGGTGGCCCTTATGACACGATCGAATATTTATTATTACATCGTCATAGTACATGTCGAATACAATAAAAATTATTTTCCATTTTTTCATATCGTCCGAAATAACAATTCCATTCGAAAAAAAAAACAAAAAACAGCATTTTTTGTTTTCCTCGTATAAATTAAGAAGGGCGAGTGACCCCGTAAACTTTCTTTGATCATTGTATTGTTCCCGATGACATTTTTTCCCTTTCAATTGTCTTCGTATCTGTTACGGTTTAAAATATAGCAATGTTACCACACGATAAAAGAAACGGCCTGTATAATGATAGAGAGGTGAAAAAATGACATTACGAAATAGATAAATCGAATGTTGAGTTATATTTTCAAATATGGGTTACTTTCTGGTTGATGATAAAAATTGTTCATATTGCTAAATCCAGAAATACAGGTTTTTCGTCGGCAAGAGACCGTTATTGATTCGAAACCATAACCATGTTGAAAAATGCTTTGTTATATGTTTTGTTAAGTCATTATCAGTGATGTGATATTGTTAGTAGTGGAAAAAGTAGTGGAATATGAATTGGCAGGTATAACTACTAGTCGAGCATTTTTAAGTTCTGATAAATACTGATCGTGTATTGAAACAGTATCATTACTGGATCACCCAGCACGTAGAAAATGTATTGAATGAAAGAAATATAAAATTTTCTATGCATTCTATTGAGTATACCACTAACAAACATATTTTGAATACACTTCCAGGTTTCACCACAAATCTTTTGAGTCACTGTAAATTTTCTATTTCAGATTTCATGCTGTATTGAAACCTCTTAGTATGGGAGTGTGGAGAGGAAAATTAATGATTTTGATAGCGTGGATAGCGGCATGTTTGTGTAGTATTCCTCAGGTGAGTTGAATCTAGGCTAGTTTCATGAAGCCAAAGAGATTTTTGTTTTTTGTTTGAACTGGATTAACCAGTTAGATTTGAAAAATTATTTTTGTGTGTGGTAAGCACATTCAGCTATCAAATATTATGCTACAGTTCTCAGTTTTCGAATACTAATATTTGTGAGGTGATTAAAAAAAAAAGTTTGGCATGATAATTATTCATACGTGAGTATGATTCATAATGGAATAATGAAGTTTCTTAAGAAAGATGTTATCAACAGTAGGAGAAAGTGCCCTATGATGGCCCCCATAACTGTAATTGTTGATAATTTTGATAATTATTGTGTTTTGAGAAAACAAATTGGCTGAAAAGTTAGCTAGTGTAGGGAGCCTTGTAAGATAGCATTGGAATTTTCAAACACTTCTCCTTTCTCCTGAAATCATTAAAAAAAAAGCTTTATGTGGGCTTCTATGACGGATTTTTTTTAAATGGGTGAAAAAAAGCAAAACTTCAGGAAATGAGTAATATTCGTGTTTCACATTATTGAAGGAATATGTTTTATAAATTATAAAGTTATGTGTCGCTATTTGCAAAGATCCCATTCTAGGGCCCCGAAACATTCGGTGTGGCACCAACTTTTGTATTTTTGGCATTTTATCCAAAAATTATTTCGACGTGAATGGGAATAAAATTCTTTGCAATATAAACATGCGGCATCTGAGTTGTCATCAGATACTTCGTCGATACCTTCGTTGTCGCTATGATTTTCCAGTTGTTCACTGATCTTTCTCTTGGCTGCTTTAGCGGTTTCTCTGCGGATTTTCTCCAGAGCTTTGGTCTTCCTTTTTTTCAGCTCCTCAACATCAGGAATGGAGTTAGGAACACCTGTTTTTCCACGCTTTTTTTTCGTGTCGGTCTTTTCCGACGCCTTTGGGATAGGAAACAATTCTTGTATTTGTTCTCTGGTAATATTTTTGGTGATAATGTTTGCCTCATTCTGATCATTTTCGGACTCATGAACTTCGTCGTTTTCAGATTCACTTAGACTTTCATTTGGTGTGTATTTTTTGCCCGAGCTGGATGATCTGGATTCATCTCTTTGTTATTGAATTGCTGCGGTAATTTCAATTTGTCCGTTCTGGTCGGTTGTCATAGTTGCTGTAAATTCCCAATCTTCAAAGTTGGCTGGATTCATAGGACATATATTCGTTTCCCTGAAGGAGTTTATGGCATTTGAAGGAACAGCAGATTTTGGGTAAGCGTTGTTGGAAAGTTTTGTCACTTAAAAGTGAGTAACATTACGCCCTAGGTAATCTTCAAGTCATTTTTGAACCTCTATATTGTAGTATGTTTGGAGTGGGCAAAAATAAATTCAACACAAAGCCAGAGTGTCCCTATGGACATGTCGAATGATTTGTGGTCAAACTTGAGATTTGGGTCCGAAACAAATCCATTGGATTTATGCGATGATTGTCTGGTGGCCGAAGGATTTACAGAAAACGGCCCAGGCGCAGCTCTCTGGCTTAGAGAGAAACGCTTGTCTGGCCATCAATGGTGCCATCAGTACCACACCGTCAGCGGCCATGGAGATTCTTCTGGATCGACCTCCTCTCCATATTTTTCTGGAGGGAGAGGCTAGACGGACTGCATTTAGACTTGTGCACATTACCAATTGCACAAATCCATTTAATGGAAAGTGCAGCAGTCACAGAATTCTGGAAATCACCTGTGACTTCCTGCTTCCAACTGGATCCTCCGGGAGAATGTAATATTGAGAGCAGATAGTTGGTACACATATGGATCAAAAACACTTTCCGGTTCTGGTGCAGGTATTTTCAGTCGCAGACCCAGGACAGAGATATCAACCTACCTACGAACCTATGCGACTGTATTTCAAGAGGAAATTTGGGCTATTGAATTGTGTGCAGAGAGATTGAAAAAATGCAGCCTCACACACAAGTAGATCAAATTATTCTCGGACAGCCAAGCGACGTAGGAGGCTCTTGGCTCCTTCCGAGCAATGTCTGAATTAGTAGCAAATTGCCAAAAACGAAAGCCTCAATAAGAAGGCTTAACATATTGTCTCTGGTCTGGATTTCTGGCCTAACTAGCCTGAAAGGCAATGAGGCTTCTGACTCCTTTGCAAAGGAGGGCACTGCAAACAGCTTCATCAGACCAGAACCTGTCATTGGCATCGCTTTAGGCTTTGCCAAACAAAGATTGAACACCTGGATGAAAAAAAGATTCATGGACTTCTGGCAGAATCTTCCAGGAGTGGCTCACTCCAAGGAGTTTATTCATCCTTCGAAGCTTGATACCAAACAGTTATTGGACTACAGTAGGGATGAACCACGATGTCTAACAGGCCTTCTTACAGGTCACTGTCATTTGAATCATCATATGCAGAGACTTGGACTGTCGGAAGACAGTGTGTGTCACCTCTGTTTGGAAAATGATGAAACAACAGAGTACATACTTTGTGCCAGCCCCATCTGACTTGAAGGACCACTCACCATACAAACTAATTGGCTTCGTTACGAAGCTGGGTTCATTTGGTCGAGTCTGAATAGGTGTGAGCCACATTGAACCCTTGCGAGTTGCGGTGGAGAGTCGAATAGACCCAGTCACTTTGGACCTAACCTAACCTAACCTAAACAGGTAGGCAGGTAGGCAAAATGAAAAATTTTTATTTTGTTTTGTATACTCCAGAATTTTCAGCCCCTTATAACTGCTATGTCCATCCAAAATTAAGAGGATTTGATTGTCACATGACGGTTACAAATGCTGCATAAAATGTTTCAACCATTTTAGAAAGGTGTCGGTATCCATCCATCCATTATCCTGACAAAATGCCACACTGCCCATCGGTGTTCCATCCATTAGTTCTGCCTTGAACCGTTTACGTGGAAAAATAAACGCAGGAGGGACAAAGGTTCCTATGACATTCATGAAATATACCGTAGTATAATTTTGCACCCCCTCGGAATTGCTGAGTACTCCTATTCGTTCGCGCCCTTTCCATGCAAGACTTTTTGAGGCTTTTGTTGATGTTTTTAGTTTCACTAAATATTGCATATATTGCTTTCTTGATGTTTATTAGGATTTGACTATCCGAATCCATTTTTTGAATACTTATAATAGCGCTCAATGAATCCATAATGATGAAGGAATTTTGTATGAATTGTTCTAGTGTATGCTTGAGAGTTTGACGAATATAGAAGAGTTCACTGTTGTTAATCCTTAAATTCGATGCATCGGTGTAAATTTGAGTGTATGTTTGATTATTCGATAATGTTACTAGCAACAAGTCAATCCACTTACAGATATGAGAGAAAATAACATTCTCATGAAATCACTTATTTTTTGAAAACATTATTGATAAAAACTTGAAATCAATTTGGGATATTTCATACAAAATATCATAATACTCATACACCTTTCTACTTTCATGTACTCTGTATATTGATAATCAAAATGATGAATGCTCAAATACAATATCAAATAGCTCAAATTTTCAAATACCAACGATGAACAAGGTCGCGAAGCTGAGGCTTTTGCAATACGCAGCGGAATTACTCAGCAGAATTACCCACCAGGATTTCTGACCATGATGGAGTATATGCTAGTATTTTGGATCTATACTTAATAACCAATCTGGAAATTTACACAGTCACCGTGAGGTCTCCATTAGGATCTTCTGACCACATCCTCATTTCTGTGTTGAGTGAATTACCGATAAATGTTGGGGAAGAATCTAAGCCGCGCAAAGTTTGGCATTACAGATCAGCTGAATGAGAGGATCTTCAAGACCATTTCCGAAGGTTCCCCTGACTAGATATTCGTTTCAGCTCTGAAGATCCATTAACATGTATTTATGAAGTAAAGAAAGTTATTCTATCATCCATGGATGCACATATTCCTTTTTAAATTAAACGAACTTCTAGCAGCAAACCTTAGTTCAACAAAAATTACGAGCAAGACGTCGCCTCTAAAAATCTTGCATAATGGCAGTAGCGCAAAAATCCCAGTGCCAAAAACCAACTAGGTTTGTTGATGCTCGCAACAGCTGCAAACTTAGGATTATTGAAAACAAAGAACTTCACGATCAGAGAATTAGGGATAAACTGCTTGCCAATCTCAACGGGTCTAGATCCTTCTGGTCGGTAGCTGAAGATGTTGATCAGAACTTCACAAAATTCACAATTACACTGCTTACACAAGCAAATGGTTCAATTGCAACAACAGCCGTAGAGAAAGCAGATCTAATAGCAGATCGATTTGCGTCCCACTTCACTGTCGATTTTCTGGGAGAGGCACCACCCACTATTCCCACAGTAGAATTCGCAATGACGGAAATTACTTTTTGACAGCGTCTGGTCAGGCGAATTTTGAAACAGCACAATATCAACAATGCGTGTGGTCCTGATGAAGTGCCCGTCATCGTACTCAAAAAATGCGCAAATGAACTAGCACCAGACTTTCTGCAGACTTCTCAACCTGTCTTACAATAAATGAGTTTTTCCTTCTTGTTTGAAAATTGTTTGCGTTCAGACTGTTCCCAAAAAGGGCAACAAAACTCTTCGAAACAATTGAAGATCAATCGTTTTGCTCTCAGTGATATCATGAATTATGGAGAAATCCATAAACCACCACATCCTCAATTATATGGAAGGCTTCAATATCTCGAGCGATCATCAATACAGCTTTCGGAAACGAAGATCTTTTCGAAGATTTTTTCGCATGTCATCCATATTTGGAATAATACAATCAATTAACATGGAGAGTCAATAGCTGTTGGGGTTGATATTTCTAAGGCCATTGACCATGTGTGGCATGAGGGTTCGCTGGCCAAACTTTGATGCTATGGCTTGTCGCATCTTTTTTGTGTAAGGTTCTTGAACTTCCTGAAAAAACGTTCCCTGCAAGTGGCCGTCGATTGATATTTCTCGAATACTTTCACCGTCAACGCTGATGTTCCCCTGGGATCCATATTGTTTCCAACCCTCTTTTTATTGTATATAAACGATTCATTGTAAATAACTAAGAATCCAATATATTGCTTTGCTGACGACGCACACTTATCTTGTCATTACATTTGGATACCAGGACATCGGCTGCGGATACACATATCTCCACCGGCAGCAGGAGATTGCATATCCTAATGAAAATCTAGAAGTAATTTCGAATTGGGGTGAAAGTAACCAGGTTCAATTCAATGCCACAAAAACACTGACGTCGGTTTTTTCCAAAAATGTGAATGTCTCCACACCGGATATAATAATGTCAAGTAAGGCAATTCTACTTTCTGCTTCGATAAGTTTGTTGCGGGTTTAAATGGACAACAATGCCTTGGCACAATCATGTCGCTAGAGCTGCAAAAGTCGCTCTTCAAAAGCTTGGAATACTGTTCCGAACCAGAAAACTATATACACCTCAGTAACTGTTGATGCTTTATATAGCACAGGTTAGACCTTATTTGGAGTATTGTTCTCATAGCTCCACACCAAAAATACCCTGAAGTTGCTGGATTCCATCGAGAAAAGAGCCTTCCGCCTGATTGAAGACGCGAACAACACTTGCAACCTTGATAATATGAAACATCGAAGAAAGGTTGAAGATTTGTCTGTCTTCTATAGATACTTTGGCGGGATGTGTTCAAGTGACTGGGTGATTCCATCAGAAGCAGTACATATCAGGAATACTCAATGGGCTGTTGCTACTTATCGTCTTGAGGTTCAACTCAGTACACCTCGAACTCTCTCATTCAGAGAACTGCCTTTATGTGTAATAACATTTCTGAGAACATTTTTCCAAATACATTACATCATCAGGGATTCAAGTTCGCACAGGCACCGCTCTAAGAGCGATTCATGTATTTTTCTGTAGCGCTCGTGTTCTGTACTTGAAAAAAAAGTGAAATGTGTTGCTATAACCTCACTTCTTTAGGTTTGCGTAGTGATTAAAAACTAATACTAGTTCGATGCAACAAACACTGTGAATGTAATAAAAAAATTCTAACGATATTTATCTTTTCAGATGATTATTTTTCACGTAGAAAACCATCCCAACATTACAGATTACATCCAGTGCGTGACATACAACGTTTTTCCTACCCCTACCCACGAAATGTTATACACGGTAACTGGTATGATTCTGATGTACGTGTTGCCTTTGATAGTGATAATTTTCTGCTACGGATCCATTCTCCTGGAGATCTTCAGGCGGACGAGGAATCCACTTGGAGGTGAGAGATTTCTTAAATTTCTGTCGATATTGGAGATAATATTGGATATGAACTGTGTAGCAAATGTGGTCATATGATATGGCAAAAAATGTCATGCTATCGAGTCGGTACTTTTCCAAATGTTTTGAGAATAATCCATAACACCTTAGGTAGAAACAGAATTTTCGTTACTGAAAATAAGATTCTTGCTCATCTGGTTTCTACTACAAGAGGCACTGTTGAATATAATCGAATTCATTGGATAATATAAAAATACAACTAAAAAATGATTGTACTTTCTCTGAAGTGATTTCAAAGCTATAACATTAATTTCTCTGGTTAACTACGTGTGCTATTGCTGCCATGTATGGCGTCAAACTGATCATTGTCGGCAACTTCATGCGCTTGAATATTCTCAGCTTCCATTCCATCTAGAAGAATCAACGAGTTGTTCGTTATACTTTTCCAAGTGTTCCATTGTTGCCTTCAAAAAAATTCCGATACACCTCTTCAAACTAACGCGTCATGTGTAACTCACTTGCTTAGCTTCAGCGTAATTATTTGAAGGATCGTCATAATTGTATGTAAAAAACTTTCTATGTATACAATTATTGATTTGTTCCGTGGGGTTAAATAGCTGTGTTAGACCATATCGTACAGTTTCATGGTTATCAAGTACAGACAATCTTTTTCAAACACTTCTTCATCTGGTCACTGGTAATCGCTTTCATTCCATTATCTGCTTTCTGGGTCAAATGTCTTTCTTCGAAGTGCAAAAATTGCTTTGTTCGTACCATTCCATGTGCCAACTGTTGCGACCGCGGCAACAGTTGGCACAGTGGTACCTAGCACGGAGTTGTTCTTGCACTTCTTCTTACACTTGGTAAGACTGAAACATTGACTGAGACATTGACGATTTGTCGTCAATTAACTATCTTCTGAATTATTCTGATTTGGTCCATGGTCTATGAATTTCACTTTTCGGTAGCAGAACGTTGCATGTTCTGCATTATTTGTATTTTTGCTAGAGTCCAATTTCATTCTCATCTGATTCCATACGCGTACTCTCTATTACTGAGTCGTAATTTTCAATATTCATTTTAATGCTAGTGTCGATGATATGTGCTTTCTCTCGAATATGGACGACCTGAGTCTCTACTCGATCATTTGCGATCATTTTCTTCTTCCTGATATTGGTAACTTATTGTCGATCCTCTTACCATGGTCGATTCGGAGATTGACATACACATCCAGCCCTTCACTTTTAAATAATCTGTTTAAAATCTGTTTTTACGTTAATCAGCAGTCGCCTCCATACGAACGACAACTCTCAGAAGTTGAGAAACTTGTGCGAGCTAAGGACTGACAAGGTCTCAACTTTCAACGTGTGATTCCTAACACGGTTGCAAAATCATCCCAGCCTCAACCAGATAAATTATCTCGAGAAAAATATCTGGTCGAGGCAGGAATCAAACCCACGGTCTTCCGATCGTAGTATTTCCATCAATTCATTCAAAAATACTCTACTTGTCTACAGTTGTAACAACACTATTGCTTGGATAATAATTCTCAATACTGACCTCACTACTGTCGATTTTTCGCTCCACTGCTTGCTGTTCAGACAAATTCACTGGTCCACCTCCTTCTCCATTCCTTATGAACGTTTGTTACACATTCAAATTTTAGCACATCTAATATATAAAAATGGATGTTTGTTGGTTGGTTGGTTGGTAAGTGATAAACTTCTACATCGCTCAACTGATCGTGATGAAACTTGACATGTATAAGTAATTTTTCATAGAGAAGGTTTTTAGGCTATCAATTTATCTGTAACTCGGCACCAGATGGCGCTGTAAAACAATTTTTCGAAAGCACTGTTCTATAACGCTGCGCACGCCTAAGTTCGTTGATTCTGATTTTGTCAGAATATTGGATCAGCAGCGATACCGCAACATAGTACTAGTGTAATATATAAAAATGGATGTTTGTTGGTTGGTTGGTTGGTTGGTAAGGGATAAACTTTTACATCGCTCAACCGATCGTGATGAAACTTGACATGTATAAGTAGTTTTTCATAGAGAAGGTTTTTAGGCTATCAATTTTTATGTAACTCGCCACTAGATGGCGCTGTAAACAATTTTTTGAAAGCACTGTTCTAAAACGCTGCGCACGCCCAAGTTCGTTGATTCTGATTCTGTCAAAATATTGGAACATCAGCGATACAGCAACATAGTACTAATTAGTACTACAACTACCAAATTGTACGTGGGCGAAGCGGCGGGCAACAACTAGTAATTCAATATAACAATCAAATATTCTGCACCTAATATACAATTCCCTACTAATAGGCATTACATTCTCAAAATCACTATAATTGGATTAAAACTAAAACATGATTTACTTGTGATGCACTGTTTGGAACCTTTGGTGTAGTAATGCCTATTACTGTAGTTTTTTCCCAACACCAAACCGTTATTTTAACACCTCGACGTGTTTCGAGGACAAAGAGATCATCTTCAAAAGAAAGATCTTCCTCGAAACACGTGTCGAAGTGTTAAAATAACGGTTTTGTGGTAGTAATATTCAGTAATATAAAAAAAAAACCTCATTTGTTTAGAATAATTTCCGTTAGGCAATGCAAAAGACAGATCAGGGTAAAAACATTATTCATTTCTGAGAATTCAGTGTCTACTGTTTGGGAATTATAGTATAGGTGAACTTCAAACTGTCGATTGGAGCGAATGCCCCCTTTATTTCACAACTCCTTTTGTAGTTTGGAAAAAGGTCCACTTGATCTTTTTTTTTGACTAATGCTTTATATTCCTATAAGTTTGCTTTGCTACATACTGAGAAATAAATATTTTCAATTGAAATGCTTCTTGCTGATAAACAACTACATTTTCAATATACATATCAACCAGAAAAGTAGTTGTGTTTCGAATTGTTGTTTTCTGTTGTCATATCCTACTATTTGGGAATTCCAGTTTTGAATATTCATTTCTTCAGAACAAACGATTTTCTCATCGACACAATCCTCACACTTATTCGAATTGGATTTTAGTATATTCATTTCAAGTATTGAAACTTTTGGTTGTTCACATCGGCTTCCAAATCACCACTATTGGACATGTTTTAAGTTGTTTTGTATTATCAAAACCTCCTGAATTCCTTGATATTAATTTTGACTGATATTTGGAATGTTTTGCAGTATTTTTATCCATTGATGTTGTCTGCTTTATCGAATTGTTGATGATAGAAATAACACTTGTTGAATTAATCATTGTTGAAATCGATGAACTCTGACCAAGAGGTGATGATTCGCTGATCTTAGGAGTATATATATATTCGACTGTATATTCGAATATCTATACGACTTTACGTATTCTCCTCACCTCCCACTTTAGATATTTTCGGTTATTGATTTTTTTTTTGTTTTTGTCTCTCTAATTTTTTGTTTCTTCTTTATTTCAATTATTTAACTCATTCAATCCTTATTTTCTTGTTCTCATCACAGGCTGTCCGGGGATATGTACACTCCGACAAAAAATGTTCAAAAGCGAATGATGGAATCTTGATGAGGTGATCTGTAACTCCATAAAGGGAAGGCATCGCATACAATATACTTGTTCTCCCTGCTGGAGCAATAGCATTTTTTGTTTTCCGTATTCTATAAATACACCATTCAAAACATACTTGATCAAGATCACTCTGAAATATAGATTATAATTGAAATTTCATTAACAACAACTCATCTCTTACTTGTACTAATGGTATGAAACAAAATTGAACTAGAGACTAGTCCGGAAATGATGCATCAAATAAATTGTCTTCTATTAGGGTTTGAAATAAATTCATCCAGTATTGTGCATTATGTTTGCGTAATATAGACCACCAAGATTCTATCCTTTGATTGTGCATTCTTTTTCCATGCAAAAAAACATGGTCAATTTGTTGATTCAGTAAATACTCCATTACTTCATTTTCAGTGACTCTATTCGGTTCATAAAGTTCTGGGGCATCCTTCTTTTGAGAAAAATCATCCAGTTACCTGGGAAAATTTGATTTCATGTGAAAAAATATGAATCGGCAGCTTCACGAACATCAGAGAGAAATCCATTTGTATTATTCAATTCAATTGTTTTGATCATGACGAATATGACGATGATATGATCTTCAAAATTACAAATTATTTCAAGTGTGAAGATGAGAAATAATAAATAGTATGGTAAAATTCAATGATATATCTTTGACACGAGCATCTTCAAAAATGAATATCCAACTGAAATATTTGTTCTTATTTCAATATCATTTCGAAATGATTATTGCTAAAATTATTGATTGATTCAGAGTTAATGATTTTTTCTAATCTTAGGGTTGCTTGAGGTTGATCCCACTTTCAACCACATATTTCCATTGAAATTTCAATCACACAACAATTTCACGAACCTCCTGTTAACATCTCCTCGTAGTAAACCATAATATACTCAAGGAATCATATTTCTTTTTTTGACTAAAAATTATGAGTATCAAGTCGAAATTACGAGATTTAAAGTCATTCAATCCTTGTTTTCTTGTTCCCCTTTTATTTTGCTTTCTAAAAGGAGTCGTATGCCTCTTGTTCCCAGCCCCAATCCTCCACTTTTTGCCGTCATCCAGTCGACCAATCACAAGCTACCGCGCGCAGAGTGGGCAATTCAAATTGTTCACACTTCAAAGCTGGCTCATTTTCTGTACTTAACCTACCTTCATGGTTTCCGTAGAATTCTAAGGAATTCGTAATCTTATTTTCATGTAAAAGATAGGGAAATATCTTTAGATCTGGGTAGAAATTGATGTTTCATGAGATGTGTGTGTGTAAGAGTGAGAGGATAGTTTGACGTATAAGTTTGAGAGAGATGGGTATGTCATCGAGGTGACCTATTGTAAAGACAAGGGATGACCAGTGAGGCCAGCGCAAGCATCACAGATTCAGTGTTGTCGGTTGTGAAATAATTCGTGGGTAATGGGGCGATGTAAAGTATAAAGCGTTGCCGGTTTTTGAAATTGAGCACGAAGGGTTACGGATACGGCACGACAAAAAAATGAGATGACGATGACACTGTAAACGTTCCTCATAAGAGATGGGGATCGCATGTTGAAACGTTAGATCCTCGTTACCGCATAATTTTCTGCCTCAAACTACACCCAATATGAATTTTGTTTGTTTATGTTCATCCAAATATGATGTTCTTGATCGTTTTTTCCTGATGGTGCTAGCTTGGTTAACGAAGATACGGCTTAGTGCTCACTTCTGGCATGCTGGATCACACGTTGAAACGTTAGGCCGTCCTAGTCATCGTCGTCGTCATCTCGAATTTTTTTGTCGTAATTTTTCATCGATGCATTTGGCTCTTGAATTGGTACAATTGAAATGAAAGCAAAGAACTTCACAATTAGAGAATTAGGGATGAACTGCTTGCCCCCAACGGTCTACCTTCTGGTCGGTAGCTGAAGCTGTTAATCAAAACTTTACGAAATCCACAATTGCACCACTACACAAGCGGATGGTTCATTTGTAACAACAGCCATAGAATAAGCAAATTTACTAGATGTACAATTTGCGTCCCACTCCACAGTCGATTTTCTGGAAAAGGCACCACCCACTTTTACACGCTAGAATCTACAGAGCTAAAAATTATTCACTTTCCGACAACGTCTATTCAGGTGAATTTTGAAACAGCTTGATACCAGTACCAAGGCTCTGGTCCTGATGAAGTGCCCGTCATCGTACTCAAAAAGTGCGTAAATGAGCTCGCACCAGTATTTTGCAGACTTTTTGACCTGTTTTACAAGAAAGGGGTTTTACTTCTTTTTGGAAAATTACTCGCGTTCAACCTATTTCCAAATAACTATAGACCAGTCGATATGCTATCAGTGATATCAAAAATTATGGAGAATGCCATGAACCACCATATACTCAAAAATTTGAAAGGATTTAACATCTTTAGCGATTATAAATATGGCTTTTGGCAACAAGGATCAACAAGGATCGAGAAGAATGGAGACCCAAGAGCTGTTGCGCCTGATATTTCTACGGCACGGTCACACGACCGTGTGTAACATGAGAGTTTGCTGGTCAAACTTCTATGGCTTGTCGGATCATTTTTGTTTATGGCTCTTCAGTTTCCTGAATGAACGTTACCTGTAAGCAGCCGTCGATGAATATCTCTCTAATACTTCCACCATCAAAGCTAGTTTTTTCCAAGGATCTATATTGCCTCCAACTTTTTTTTATTGTATATCAAGGAATTATTGAAAATCACCAAGATTCCAATATATTGCTCTGCTGACGACAACACACTTGTTTCGTCATTTCGTTTGGATTCCAGGACATCGGCTGTGGATGCACATCTTCACCAGCAGCAGGAGGTTGCATATCTTAATGAGTATCTGAAAGTGATTTCGAATTGGGGTGAAAGTAACCAGGTTTAATTCAATACCACAAACACCCAGGCATCAGTTTCTTCAAAAAAGATAAATGTCTGCGAATCGGATATAATAATACCAGGTCAGACAATTCCACTTTCTGCTTCGAAAAGTTTGTTGGGGGTTGAAATGGACATCAATATATCTTGGCACAATCATGTCTCTAGAATTGCAAAAGTCGCTCCTCAAAAGCTTGAAATACTGTTCCGAACCAGAAAACTATATACATCTCAATAACTTTTGATGCTTTATATAGCACAGGTTAGACCTTATTTGTAGTATTGTTCTCAAAGCTAAACACCAAAAAATACCCTGAAGTTGCTGGATTCCATCCGGAAAAGAGCCTTCCGCCTGATTGGAGACGCGAACATCACTTGCAACCTTGATAGTCTGGAACATCGAAGAAACGTTGGAGATTTGTCTTTCTTTAATAGATCCTTTCACGGAAAGTGTTCAAGTGACTTGACATATTTGATTCCACCAAGAGCAGTACATATTGGAAATACGCGGCGGACTGTGGCTGTTGATCGTTTTGAGGTTCAACTCAGTACACCTCGCACTTCACTGTTTGAGAACTCTTTCATTTGAAAAACGGCGCTCGAGTAGAATAAACTTCCTGAGAAAGTTTTTTCAAGTGGATTTGATTTCCAGCGATTCAAATCCAATGTGAATCGCTATTTTCGCACAGGCGCCGCTCCTGGAGTGCCTCAGATTTCCCTGTAGTGCTTGTGTTTTGTCCTTAAGAAAACCACATGTTTTAAGAATCCTTGTGCTATATTTTCGAAGATTTCAAAATTCTTCGGTATTCGATCATGTTGCTTTCTGAAATATTCTTTTCCTCATGGTTTTGACTGTTCAAGTTTCATCTTGCAGTTTCACTTGGGTCTGTTCATTCAATATCATTTCCATAACAATTTTATTGATTTCACTCAATTCATTCTTGATTCCTTTCACTCTGTCCCTTAATGTATGAAATTTATCCGTTTTCTCCGAATATACATTATACTTGTACTTTCTTTCTGTGATATGAACTTTTTTATTCTTCTTTTTTTTTAGTCATATCGGGAACACTTGTCGTACATCAGAACAGACTGAACTCATTTCAATTATTCTCCTGATAATGCTGATTTGGTTAGCAGAACGCGCGTCGAAAGACAGTATTGTTGTTCTGGTGTGAGAAAAGTTTTTTCAATAGATCCATTTTTGACAGGGCTTACAATTCTACCAACCAAGTTCTCCTTACTTCTTTTTGTTTTTTTATATTTTATTTCTATTTAACCTTTATCTTTGCTATACTGACATTGAAAACACAGAAATACCCGCCATTTTGTTGTGAATTTCTGTATTTTTCTTTGGAATAGTACAAATCGAATAAGCCATACTGAAATAATTCAAACTTTGATGGCTTCCTCTATTGTTTTATAGATCCGCGCCAGAAATCGCATGTTGAAAGCTATTACTTCGTGAATCCTTAGTTGTGGAATTGACCGCGGTGGTAGTGCGCCCGACTCACGATCGGAAGGCCGTGGGTTCGATTCCCGCCTCGACCAGATATTTTTCTCGAGATAATTCATCTGGTTGAAGCTGGGATGAATCTGCAACCGTGTTAGGAATCACACGTTAAAAGGTAAGTCCTTAGCTCCCACAAGTTTCTCAACTTCTGAGAGTTGTCGTTCGTGTGGGGGCGACAGCTGATTAATGGAAATATAGATTTTAAACAGATTTTTAAACTATTCAGGGACAATAACTGGCGATCGGGGAAATCGAACTTAACCCTATTTTTGAACCCATCACCAATCGCTGCCAGATCGGTTTCCGTGGATTAGTCAGAATCTGACTGATTTTCAGTCATCAAATGACATCTAGAAGACATTTCGCAACTCATTTTCGATTCAACTCAGAGAATTCTCAAATTTATGGTCATCAAACATTCTGCTGCGTATTTAAAGTAATTTGATCACATTCATTTACGATCCTTCATCATGTGTCTTTTAAAGGCCAAATCATGACAACATATATTTACAAATGACAATCCAGTGAAACGCAGACAATAGTGAGACGTAATAATTACTATCATTGTTGAATTTTATTCAAAAAAGTACCTACTACTTACTCAGCTCCACTTATTTTTCATTGAATCAATAGCATTATCAAAAGTAAATTTGTTTCAACAGTTCGGTAATCTGATATTATATCGTATATGTTCATTATCAGATATCAATAATATATATGCAAAAAATTTCAGCTGATAGTATAACTAGATCAAGTCTGCCGTTCCTTGGAAAAGCTAAGATCAGGACACTGAAAATGACGATAATAATCGTTTTCGTCTTTTTCGTGTGTTGGACTCCATATCAAGTGATGAGTATTTGGTGAGTACCTACAGAAAATTCAAATATAAAATCATACTTATTTGTTGTTTCGAATTCTTAAGAGATACTTCATGAACATAATAGAAAATATACAAAGATAATACCTCAAATCCACTCTGATGCTCAACTGATGAAACGACTCAAATTTAATCAATTTTGCAAAAGGAAGTCACAAATATCAATATCAGAATGAACATATCAACATTGAAACATTTATATAGTGGGAACAGCAAAGTGAAACTAAAATAAAATTAGTTCAAATCGAAATGAAAAACATTATGATATAGCGATACAATACATCCATAGAATATTTTCGATGGATCAGTTATATGATGGAAACGGCCGATACTTGATGAAAATCCATAACTAACGTATTCCAAAAACACTTTATTGTGAGATTTTCACTAAATTGTTTTACAAAAACGCAACACGTGTTTCGCCATACAATGGCTTCATCTGGCGCCAGATGAAGCCATTGTATGGCGAAACACGTGTTGCGTTTTTGTAAAACAATTTAGTGAAAATCTCACAATAAAGTGTTTTTGGAATACGATGGATCAGTTGTCTATATTGTAAATGAAGAGTCAGAAAAATATTTTGGTTATCTCCTTGTAGATGAGCTCTTCACATTTTGCTATGTCTTGACTTTCTGAAGCATCCAAAAATGTGGTTGTCTAGTACTGATCTCAACAATCTTTGGCCATTCTCGTAAGGCGCATTGAGCAACACTGGGTTTTTCTGATCTCCGAAATTGGATATATTCTGCATTTTCTCTGAAACTGAAAATCTAATGAAAATTGGGTATGTTTTTCTATTCTGTAGACAGTTTTGCTTCCGTCGAGAGCGGTGTATGATACAAATATGCACAAACTATAGCTACCTATCGCTTCAAACTTCAATTAAATAACCCTGAACTACATGGCCTATATAACATTTTATTGGAAAAGTGTGTTGCCTGAAAAACAGTGTTGAGGTAAATTCAGTAACTCGATTCATTGATTAGAAATTACAACTGAACCATTATGACGAAGGGCAAATCTCTTCAAATTTCAAAACCGTCTTAACCAAAAAAAAATAGCAATTTCTCAGATACCAATTATGATTTTTATGTCGATGGAGTACTGCGTTCTAGATAAATTGTACCTCATTCACCCCCAAGAGATCTTGGTGAACAAGTTCCAATTTCTTATGTCTCCAACATAGGGGGACTTTCTCATACTTTGAGTTTGAAACAAATTCATACGAACACAGTCACCATTCTAACAGAATTTCTGATAATTCTCAAATGATAATAGGTTCACGTTTCGAAGCTCTGGTGTATGCTGTGAATGGAGCTTCTTCATCTACTGATGGCATTTCTAGAAAATGAAAAACAAAACATTTTTCCTAATTTTCAAGTGTATCATTGACAGTCTTGTTTCTAGGCGGAAACGCGTTATTTTACACATCAAAAAATTATATGTACTAGAACTCCAGTCAGATATCTTTTGCATGCGAATCTTTCGATACCACCTAAGTCATTAATTTCAAGTGTATAAAATTAAATACGAAATGATCAGAGAATTCCTTGGAGAAATTTTGTGATTTTCATTTGGAAAAAATGATTTACGGCTGTTTTCAAATGATTGTACGGAAGCGTAGAAGGGCCACATATTATTTGTTTATTTGATCCACAGTAATTTCGAATTGAGTCGAAATTTCGACTTTTATCTCGTAATTTCGACTTTTATCTCATAATTTCGACTTTTATCTCGTAATTTCGACTTTCATCTCGTAATTTCGACTTTTACCTCGTAATTTCGACTTTCATCTCGTAATTTCGACTTTTATCTCGTAATTTCGACTTTTATCTAGTAATTTCGCGACTTTTATCTCGTAATTTCGACTTTTATCTCGTAATTTCGACTTTTATCTCGTAANATAAAAGTCGAAATTACGAGATAAAAGTCGAAATTACGAGATAAAAGTCGAAATTACGAGATAAAAGTCGAAATTACGAGATAAAAGTCGAAATTACGAGATAAAAGTCGAAATTACGAGATAAAAGTCGAAATTACGAGATAAAAGTCGAAATTACGAGATAAAAGTCGAAATTACGAGATAAAAGTCGAAATTACGAGATAAAAGTCGAAACTACGAGATAAAAGTTGAAATCACGAGATAAAAGTCAAAATTATGTTGGATCAAATAAACAAAAATAATCTTTGGCCCTTCTACGCTTCCGTATGATTGTGATGAATAGTTCATAATATCATTGAGATCCTCCTATGAAAATTCCATAATTTTACCACTACCAGTCTGCCCCTCCACTCGCCTAGAGACACAAATACCAAACTATAGCCTCTTTGCCCACAGTCGACGCTTGGGAATGGGCGGGTTAAGATTCTTACGGAGACCAATGACGAGACCTGGGGACTAGACAGATTAGGACCCCGGCGTCAAGTCACAAAACTCTCGAAGCCTGACGCTTTCATCGGCTATATGAAAATCTGACTTGTTCTCAAATTTATCTCTGTTCGAAAAAACATGAAAACAAATCTCGAAAGTATAATGGCAAGAAACATTCAAATGTTGAGATTTACAAAATATGCTTTGCAGCTAATCATACCAGATAAACCAACCATAGACCTAATAATTCGCTTCTGCGCTATTGAAACATTATATAAGTGAGGAGTCCAACCCCAAAGGGGTTACCATACCGGAAGGGGTTACCACAACGGATTCGGGAGTCAATTTGTCCATAAAGAAATAATTTTAGGAATCGAGTTCGGAAGTTAATTTTTCACAATGTGTAGCTCAGCAGAGCGTATTTTCAATATGGATTTCCAGAAACTTCACCGAACACTTGTCCACCGATTTAAGTGATGTCAACAAAATGCTTTTTGGAATAAGACTGTTTTTCGCTGTTTATAGATTCCATTTCACATTTTTCGATTTCTAAACCTTCGAAGAGATATAAAAACCTGTTGTTGGACAGTCAACGGACAGAAAAATATAGTTCCGCCTGTTTGTTGTAGACAAAGGTGAGACCTGTTATTGATATATCTGAAAGTATTTGAATTCTTTCTATATAAATGCCAAACCCTTTTGAGCGTTTCTCATATCTAAACCAAGGAGTGGCAAATTATTTTCAATTTCATACGAGAATTTCATATTTGGAGATCTGTTATTGAGAAAAGATACATTATTTTTACCTCACTACTTTTCGAATCGGATGTGGTAAATATATAATCTATGTATCCGAAGTATAAAGTAATCTTACTCTTCTCTTGATTTCATTTCAAGTGAGCTCTTTGGCTACTTCACCACAGAGTTCATTCAATATTCAAATGTTCTTTAGGTATTCGATATAGAGACACTTAAGTCTAATAGAGACAAGACTGTGGAAAAAAAATGAGTTTTACGAAATAAGCTATAGAGATTACGATAAGAAGTATGTTGGTCAAACTAAGCGGATTATAATATGTAGTTCGCTGCAAGGAACTTAGTTCACATATTCGGTTACATAGACCAGTAGCTCAGCATACTAAGTAAGAAATGTGTGAATTTGTGGGAACTGGTACATGATGAAACGTATTTTGATGCCTTCGAAAGTTCATGGAACGAAAAATATAAAACGAGATCTTTGAAGAACGATAAACGTCCCATACCAAACAGTTCATTGTTTATCTTCGTACGTCATAAATACAAGTATAACACAGGCAATTTCTCTGTATCTGTAGAGTAGGGAGGGTGACACAGCTCACAGCACTTAGGCCACATGTGACCCATTGTTTATTCTCCCGAAGAGTTGCTCTCCCAGGTCATCGTACATACTGTCCTTTCCAGAAAAGTGGATAGGTCACTTGGAAACATCTCCTTTATATTGGCAGGTGTAGGCCAAGACTCGCCGAACATACACTATCTTATTGACTTCGAGCACTCGTATAGGACATGCCTGACAGTGTCATCTTCCTGTTCACACATCCTGCATAGAGGTGTGTCCACTAGCCCCATATAATGGAGGTGTTTTCTTGGTTGTCAGTGGCCAGTCAGAAATCCTACTGTCAAGCGTAGATTTTTTCTGGTCATCGCCAGATATTTCTTCGGCGTCAGCTTCCCAGGGTCGCCCAGAGTGATCCTGGCAAGATTGCATCCTTTGATTCCATCCCATCTCTTTAGGGATTTAGCATGGGTGTAACATTTGGCTAGTTCTGCAATTGTAAAAGTCATCAGGCCGTAGGTGCCACTGGGTCCTGAAATTCCAGCCGCTTTCTTGACTAAAGAGTCGGCAATGCGATTACCTTCACTCCTGTCGTGCCCTTCAACCCACCTTAGGATAATGTTATTATCTACCGAAGCTTTGGCTATATCTTGGTGGTACTCTAGTACTTACCCTGAGGTAACCCGTTGTCTGTTCAAGGCTAATAGGGCTTGTCTGCTGTCAGTGCATACTGTTATGTTTTTGCCAGGATACCAGCCAGTTCTGTTTGGACCACGCTGATATTTCTCCCATTCACCAATCAATCCCTAGGCTTAGTGATTTGGAGTACACTCCACATCCTGAGCTGTATGTATATACGCGTATTGCATTTGTTGCATCTGACTCTGTGTACTGTTCCATTTGTATTTTGTAGAGTTTATTAAACACAAACATGGGTTCGATTGTATCACTGGTGGCCTGCAGCAGAGGTTGCTCAGTGAGCGCCTCTCGCCTCAGCCTCAATTTACCCATTCCTACTTCGACGTTTACACCAGCCGTGCGCAATCGTATCATGGCCATCAACGCAATCTCCTCAACGTACAGGTCCAGAGGGGTCAGACCCGTAATTAATTCCATGGCTCCTGTGATGTTTAAACAAGCCAGTCGCTGTATTTGATATAATTTTTGGATGGCCGTTGCTTGTAGAACTTTTAGTCCCCATGCAATGGCTCCGTACGTTAACATAGGTCTCATTATTGCAGTGTAGATCCAGGTGACCACGCGGGGTGAAAGACTCCATGCGCGTCCCACTGTTCTCCGAC